GATCTACCTTCCTGCAGAGTTCAGCTCCAACCCTGATCAAACACAACTGAACCAACTAATTAGAATCTGAAGGAGCCATTGATAATTACAGACAGGTGTGTTTGATCAGGGTTGGAACTGAACTCTGCAGGAAGGTAGATCTCCAGGAACAGGGTTGGGCACCCCTGAGCTAGAGCATGTGAATGAGATACACAGTGTGTGTTTGTGTCTTGGTGTCCTTGTTATATGCACTAAAGTGTTTATTAGCGTTGTCACTGACTCTCCCTCATTCCCACATCTCGCTCTGTTTAAAAACACAATCGATGGATCTATCGCTTTCAGTCCGAATCGGATGACAATCGAGGATGGGCACAAGATAAGCAAGAGTTTGTTTGGAGCTGAGTGCCTATCCAAGCACCCCATGTCACTATTGATTTTTTCAACAATTTCAGCTTTATTCACAACAAACCTCTCCGTATTGACCGATCTCCATCCTTTATTTCCCACCGGCGTTCTGCTCGCTGTCAATGGCATGCATTCATCACTGATTTTCTCTATTTCTCTCTATATAGATCTCGCTGGAGGAGATCGAACGAATCATGTCTGGCCAGGAGTTTAAAGAAGGAGCTGAACTATCAGATAGGTGGAGCCACGGCTACAGTTCACCTGGCAACAGTATCTCCGAGGGCGGTCAGACCTTATCTTTTTCCGCGCTGTCAACCAGGTGTGACCCGAATGAGATGTTCGACCGCTTTTACACACGGACGCGCTGACCTGCGTCTGTCCTTTTCATGTGCAGGGACAAATGGCTTTGATTAAATTGAATTAGGAGATGTTTGTGTTGTGGAACAAACAACATACTACACACACGAGCAAAAAGTGGAAACAAGATAAGGAAACGCTCAAAATTTATGTTATTAATATTGTTTTAATTCATTGATTTATTGTGCGTGATACTGTGAAGACAATTTTTTTTTTGTTTCATAATCTTGCATAAAAATGTAATATGTGTTGTGGAATGTACCACATGCTATATCAAACATGAGCAAAGAGTTGCTATTTTTACATTTTTTTAATATATTGTGTGTTATTCCAAAGCAATTTTTTTTCATAATCTTTAAAAAAAATATTTGTGTTGTTAACGAAATTCATACTACAACAAACATAAGCAGAGAGTTCAAACAACAAAGAAACACTCAAAGTTGATGCTATTTTAATTCACTATCACAAATAATAAAAATGTTTGTTTTCATAATTTTTTATTAAATATAATCTTTGTCCCACCTCTCAAACAACTTTCCTTTTCTGCCAACATCATCTTATTCTTCAGTCTTTTCCATAAATAGACACTTTTCACCATCTGGTCAATTCCTAATGGATACAATTTTATAGATAAAATAAATAAATCTGATTATCTTTTTCACTTTTAAATATGTGACAGAATTTAAATTTGTTGCAAATCAGAGTTATTATCGTTACCTAAAAAACAAAAAAAAAAGTTTGTTAATTTATATAAAAGTTAACCGAAATAAAATATTGAATACTTAAAATTATTTTATTTCATCTAGTTGCCAAGGCAACATTTGCCATTTTGGTTAAGTTGAAGTACTAAAATAACTAAAACTAATACATTTATTTAAAACTTAATAAATGTTATATAGATATATCAAAAAAACTAAAACTAAAATAAAAATAGTAAAAACACACAACAAAATTAATAAACTTAAAGAAAATTTTAAAAATAAACTAAAAAGAGAAAATATAAAAATAAAACCTAATTCAAAATATTAACAAAACCTATAATAGTATATCGATGATACTAAAATTACACTGTTGCAAATACAGTTTCATGTTGACTTTTGGCTTTTATATCAAATTCCATTGATATACTAAGATTGCTTTTGCATATATGTCATGTATGATGTATAATTTCCTTTCTTGTTCTCTCTGCAGCTGTTCTGTGGATGTGAGCACATACCCTGCGTCCTGTAGAGATCAGTGCAGCAGTCCTCAGCTGACACACTCTTTCCTGTTGTGTAAATATCCTTTACCGCCCTCTACTGGCAGCAGCCTGAAGACACAATCGCAAACACTGTCAGCCCAGCTACTCGCTGCTGAAAATCTCACACCTCTCACTACACCCATGGTCATAGAAGAGGGGTAAGACTATATCAATTCTATAGAACCCAGCCTTAAACACATAATTGAAAAGGTTTTCATTGTTCGTTTAGGGGGGCATTTACATAGAAAGTCTTAAAGACACTGAAACAAAACCAGCCTGTTTAATTCTAAGGTTCTGTCATTTATTCAGGTATAATGTGACTCAATCGGAGCTGTTGGCTCTGCTGTGCCATATAGCTGATGAGCTGTTATTCAGACAGATTGTCTGGCTGAAGCGTTTACCCTTCTACAACAATCTGTCCATCAAAGACTGCACTCGTTTACTGGGGGCTTCCTGGCATCAGCTCATCCTGCTCTCCTCACTCACTGTGCACAGCGGACAGATACTGGGAGAACTGGCCAACATCACACACCAGTACACACCGTCAAGCCTAACACTACAGGGGTGAGCTAAATGTGTATGAACAGTAATGCACAGTAACTCCACCCACCGTAAAATCTCATTGGTCCAAAATATCTATGAATGTATACATGTGTGTGTATGCAGGTTTGGTGAGGATGCTATGGAGGTCATGGAGAGTTTCAATTTTCTCTTCCGTAAGTTTCATCAACTAAATATCAGCAGTGAGGAGTACAGCTGCTTAAAGACCATCACCCTGCTCAATCAAGGTAATATACACACTACACTAACCTAGCTTTACACTGAGATCTTTGTGGCCATAGCAGATGTGTGTAATTTGAGCGTGTGTGTGTGTGTGTTGTAGATATGGCAGGTTTGTGCAACACATCCACACTGGAACAGTTGAGTGAACGTTACTGGTCTGTGTGTCGTGACCTGACAGAACGACTCCACCCTCGTCGACCCAAACGCTTCTCTGACATCATCACCTGCCTTTCCGAGATACGCCACACCTCAGGTGTGTATCTGTATAATACTAGAGGGAAATTGCGGGAGAGAGTGAATGAACCCAAAAAGATGAATTTTTCTTAAATTGTTCAAAAGTTTGGGGACAGTACAATTTTTTGAAATTATAGAGTAATAGAGTAGAGTAGTATATAAATAGAAATTAATACTTTTATTCAGCAAGGATGCATTAAATTGAATAAAAAGGACATTTATAATGTTACAAAAAAATTATATTTAAATAAAATGTTGTTTTTTTAACTTTCTATTCATCAAAGATTCCTGAAAAAAACATATATCACAGTTTTCACAACAATATTAAGCAGCACAACTGTTTTCAACATTGATAATAATAAGAAATGTTTCATAAGCAGCAAATCAGCATATTAGAATGATTTCCGAAGGATCATGTGACTCTGAAGACTGGGGTGATGATGCTGAAAATTCAGCTTTGCATCACAGGAATAAATTACATTTAAAAAAATATTCAAATAGAGAACTGTTATTTTAAACTGCAATAATATTCCACAATATTACTGTTTTTACTGTATTTCTGCTCCAATAGATGCAGCCTGCTGAGCATAAGAGTCTTTTTTTCAAAAAACATAAAAAATCGTACAAAATTTTTGAACAGTGGCGTGTTTTAAAGCTACAGTTCACTCATCTCAACCTCATTTTGTGACAAATCTTTGACTGTCAGCGGCATACAAATGATGATATTCTCAGCTTATTTCCAGCATTTAGTGGAAAACCTAAAATCAGATCAAAAACATTTTTAGCTTCAAATTAGTTTTATCTACAAATCACTGCAGCACAGTATTTCAGACTTGCTGTGGAGTATTTCATAGAGATTTATTATTTCCTATTTAAAATCCTGTTGCGCATCTACTTCATGATACTGCATGAAATCGTCAGTTTGAATATGGAATAATTAGCCAATCAAAATGTAACTCTGCTAATTATGTCATTATTGGTTATAGGTAAGATGATGGCCATTCCATTGGAGCAGCTCCCACTGCTGTTTAAGGCTGTACTGTACTCCTGCACAACCAATCAAAACCCCTGGCTAGCCAACAGCTCCACCTCCAAGACATAAGCCATGACTCCAACTAGCTGTTTTAGTAACAGATTTGTGTGTTATTTCAAAGTGTACCAAATGTAGCGATTTACCAAATTAGATTTCAAGATGCCTGCAAAGATTACCTCAGGAACATGACTTTTGAAGGAAAAAGCCTTTGGAAAACCACAAACTCTATGACCATTGTGTTAATGATTAAAATGAAAAGAAAAACCACAAATGAACGCACTGCAAGCCATTGTTGAATAATGCAGCCTCTAGCTATGATATGAAATGTCCTTGTGTTACAGGATATCACTGATAAAATATGCCTGATAAAATAGTGAAGATGCCAAGGTGCTGAATTTCATTAAAAAAAAACAGTGTTTCTTATTCAGATGATAGCTACATTTGAGCTATAGAGATTTAAATAGTCAAAATGATCATCCGCAGCTCACAAGTTTGAGTACCAAAGCTTAGTGTGCCACAATATACATGCTGTTGACCATAATTTTTTCAGGATGGAGACTTCCGGTAATGTTTGAGCCAGTTGCCGGGGTAACGAAATGCAATAAGCACACTCTTTATCCCAGGTGTGTGTGTGTATTTCCTCTCACACATGTCTTCAAGGAAGTGTGAATGTTTGAACAGGGTTTATGTGTTTGTATTTTGGCGTAGTTGTAGTTTTGTTGGAAATGTAATTCCTCATTTCATTGTTTTGATCATTTTTATTCCTGTTTTCGAACATGTTATTATGTGTTTTACCTGTTACCAGAGGAGCCATTTCTCAGGAAGGCCAGAGGGTTGAGTTTGATGAAACCTCATCGTGTTGTACAGAGGAACATTCCAAATATTACTAAACATTGGAAGAATTTCATGTGGTTTTAACCTTCCATTCCTTCTTTGAAAGTTTACATTTCTGTTTTTGCCGCAGTATAGCGGCACGCTCGAGGATAGCATGCGAGGGTCTCTCTGATAGATAGCGGAGAAGGGGGGTAATCATTTTCTTTGTGCTTGCCATGTTTCTCTCTGTTTTTTATCATCTGAGGCCTTGAAGTGCGTCTGTAATTAATGACATAAAGACTGGGCAGAAAACGGACTGTATCGCTCAGCTGTCTGTCCTTCTGTTGATATTCATTGTTCATCTGTTTAGCATCGTATTTTTCTTCTCTGCATTTGAATGTTTACAGCATTTAAAATTACATTGTACTTATTTTTGTTTTATAAAGAAGGCCTGAAGGTTGATTTATTATCAGTGTCTCTGTTTTTTCTTCTCTACGGTGCTCTACGATCCATATTGTGTTTTCCTGGTTCTGAGGCCTTGCAGATCCAGACTAACATGCTCTATGACTGTTTTAGTCAATATGTGTTCAGTTTAAGGCCATCTATGTGCCAAACGTTGACAAATTTCTCTAGTAGTCTATATACACATGATTTACATTCATTCTCTTCTGGAAAAACGGAACAAAATTATTGATGACTCACCCTGAACCACACAGATTTTTGTCCAATCAAATGCTCTCTACAATGTATATGTATACATCGACTCTCCCTATGTTCACAAACTATTTTAATATATACATATATAGACATACTTTATATATAAAATCGACATCTTTAATTCAATAGTTTTATATTTATCCATCGTTTTATCCATCACAATGCTTCATGGGACAGTAGTTTTTACCCACATTGAAGTCACTAAGTACCTTTGTCTTTTTGTCTAAATTACTTTTTGGCTTCAAATCAATACTGTTGTGATTCACCTCATAGCTGATTGGTTTGGTTTATTGCTTATAACATTCAAACGAAGACTTTTTTAAAAATCCCAATGGGAAAAATACTTCCAGAGCCAAGGCCGCTGAAAACATAGACAGGCAGTTGCACACTGTTAGCATCATCAGAGATGTGAAGTTATATTTGCATATAGAAAAGGAATAGTAGATAAATATTTATGTGGCTAAATACCCTGATGGATAGAAATCCAAGCAATTAAAATGCATAAAGTATCTTTGCTCTCTGATACCTCTGATTTCCTTAGATATGGGTCTGATTTATCTGATCTTACAGGTGCATCTCAATAAATTAGAATGTCGTGGAAAAGTTCATTTATTTCACTAATTTGCATTGGTGGGTTTTTGTTAAATGTGAGCCAAAATCATCACAATTAAAAGAACCAAAGACTTAAACTACTTCAGTCTGTGTGCATTGAATTTATTTAATACACGAGTTTCACAATTTGAGTTGAATTACTGAAATAAATGAACTTTTCCATGACATTCTATTTATTGAGATGCACCTGTATATTATCTTCATGAATTGAGAATGAAGCCTAAGCAAAATTACCGGAAGACTGGCCATTGAGAGAGAGAAAAAAGTTTATTAATGTGTAAATTGTCTAAATATCAGATGTCAAAACTTGCAGAGTTGCCTTTAAGTGCTGAACATAGAAGCATGTCTTTGTCTCTTTTTGACTTGTGAGCAGAATTTTTGAGTGTCCACTTGAGCTAATTTAGATGTCCATGACCTTATTCACTTTTCATTCAGTTTTCTTTCCTCTCTCTCTCCTTTTCTCCATCACAATCTGTTATGATTGAGTAGTTTGGCTAAACTGAACAATACAACATATTTAGCAAACTTAGAGAGTCAGATATCCTCAATCATTATACAGCATAATAGAGTTCTATGTGAGTTCTAAGTGAAGATCCTGTTTCCTGTGTCAGGCTCCGCCCCTTCCTGCAGGGAGTGCAGAAATTGTGACTGTTTTTAGCACAACTCTCCTTCTCTTCCTATTTCTCTCACTATACTCTTAAAAAGAAAACTTATTTCCTACATCCTCTCATAGGACATTTTGGTGACTGATTCTCTCTGTAAAAACATGCAATCACATCTTTTACCTTTCCACAACTAGAAACATGCAGTTTCGTATCTTAAAAATTTACGAAATTGATTGATTCCCTGTAATGTTGCACTATTTACATTAAATATGATGCCAAAATATATATTTTTTAAAATATTTTTTAAATCAACGGACCAGTAGCTAACTAAAATTAGTCTCTTTTACATTTTCAAAGGGCAAACGTGCTTACATCGGGCAAATTTGTATGTGTAAATGAAAAATTATCATATTAATTGTTCAATCCATTTATGTGGACTCGTCCTGTTGTGTCTTTTTCATGCCGACTTCATTTTTACGCGCGGCATTCCATATTTGCGCATGCGCACATTTTCCCGCTTTCCCGCTAATGGATCTATCTGTGGATGACAGCAACTTTCTTTTTGCTTTTTCCCGCGCTTTGTGAGAGCCATTCACAGCAGTGAAGACAACAGTGACAGGTACAAAGCCAAATATTAACAGTTAATCGTTTCCAAATGTTGGCGGAAGCACATGTAATTAAAACGATAGTTTCAGATAGTTTAGTAGTTGCTTTTAACCATAAGGTTGTGTTTAAACGTTCAATTTTAGATAGCTTATAACCTCTACAGTTATCTAGCCAAGAGTGAGTGCTTCTCTTTTGTTGTCAGTAGCTTGTTGTTTGATTACTGTTTTCTAATGAAGGAAAATCTTCTGAGCTTCATCCAATATGTTCCACTGATATGTTTTAGAAAAGACTTTACCAACTAGGCCTAATTGTTTCATTTACAGCCCTTGTTCATTTCCTGCAACTTATTTCAAATCTTACCACTATTTTTATTATAAGTGATTCTGCTACATGCATAACTAGAGAAGGAACTGTTTTGGTGGCTTATCTCATATTATCCACCTTTTTTGTAAACAACAAATGGGTGCCGCCACTGTTTTCCATGTTCAGCCTGATTAAAAATCATTGCAGAAGTTACAAGTACACCGCCAGCCAGAAGCATTAGACGTAGTTAAATATGAGCTCAGATTCAAAATATGATGTTGCTGACTGCAACAAAAATAAGATGTATTCCTTCAGTTGGCCAACAGTTGAACTATATATCTTATCAGAATAAATAATTCTTCCTCTCTAATTAATAATAATAAAACCAGTTTATTGAACATGATATTGCCATTGCTGCCAATTTTCTGGAAATAGATCATTCTGTTTATGAGTTACAGTGATTTTTACTACAAATTCCATGCTTTTAAGTACAGCATCAATTAACGACTGTAAAAATCACTGTAACACATGACCTCTTATGGCTTATTGCTTTAGTTTGTCATAGAGGGAACCAGAACAGCACTCATTGTCTTTCTTTCATAATTAAAGGGGTCATATGATGTTGCTAAAAAGAACATTATTTTGTGTATTTGGTGTAATGAAATGTGTTTATGTGGTTTAAGGTTAAAAAAACACATTATTTTCCACATACTGTACATTATTGTTTCTCCTCTATGCCCGCCTTTCTGAAACGCGTCGATTTTTACAAAACTCATCGGTCTGAAAAACGAGGTGTGCTCTGATTGGCCAGCTATCCAATGAATTGAAATCGCATCATATGACCCCTTTAATAAATCTCTCTTTTTTTACTCACGATTTTTGTCATCTGTGTTAAACACACGTACACAGTCACACAGGTTCACTCTGACATGAGTAATCTTATCTGAGCTGAATGTTCGAATACTCCTGATGGCTCAGATAAGAAACTAAAACACCGAGACCTTCACACACTAAACACTTCTGATACACACACAGGCACACATGGCTGTTTTAATAAAGCCCCTGGTCAGAGTTAGTTATATGGCTGGCCGGTTTTTTGTTTTTTTTTTGTACATGAATTAGAGCGTTTGAAACAATCTTTATAATGGGCTCAAGGTTTCGAGGGTCTCGGGGTGAAACATTTTTACGTCACTGCAGCACAGACCTCAGGGCCAGTGGCAATGACCAATGCCTCACTCACAAACACACACATACCACCTTCATTTTCTATCTAGTATATATTTTAATATATAAATATAATATTAGATATTTAAAAAGAAATAACTTTCTTTCGTTCAATGCCCAATGCTGCACTCACAAACACAAACACACACATACCACATATACATCATATCTATCTATCTATCTATCTATCTATCTATCTCTCTATCATCTTCTACAAACATCATATGAAAATCTCTAAATGCACTGTCTTTATTCAAGTCAAAATGTTATTTATTGTGTGTGAATTAAACTACAATAGGTTACATAAACAAAACCAAGGAATTTATAAAGGTCAGATCGAGTCTTGCATGTACTCACTTTTCACTTCATGTATTACTGAACAAACGGCATTCTTTGAACATAAAATTTTTTATGATGCATACTTGATGGACAGACACAATCCTGCTGTTATAGACCAACATACTTAACACACTTGACATGTGTAAGTGTGTGTATTTGAGAAACAATCTTCAGAAGTGTAGAAAGTGTGTGCGGGTGAAGGACAGATAAGATGAGAGACCACCACGTTCACACACACACACACACACACACACACACACACCATGTTGAGACATTTTCGCACACTTCCAACACACAAGCACACTACAGCAAGAGTGTTGAGTATATAAACCATTATATACAAGGTTAGGAATAATAATTTTTACACAAGCTGTCAATTAACTAATCTTACTTTTAACGAGTGCACTTAAGATGTAAAGTGTGGCCAGTATGAAAACAAATACTGTTTATTGATTCCCTCCTCCCCCCAATTCTCATTCTTATTCTTTTTTTCTTTTTTTCTTTCTTCTATTCATCTTTTATCCTGGAATATCATTTTATTCAACTATAGTTAAGTCATGTTGGTGGAAAGGCCTCGAAGGTCAAAGACAAAGACTCTTTTGACTTCCCCTTTCTCTTTTAAAAATAAAATCAGGCGCAATGTTCAGGTCTTATGTGAGCTAGATATGACAACTCCATTGGACGTTCGGGGTTTCGACCTTGCTTTTTGTTGAGGCGCACAAAGTCTCTTTTTGTCACTTAAAATGTTTATTTTTTTCTGGAACAATATTTTGAATATATTTGAATATATTTAATTATAATAATGTGCCAAACACCTTATAAGGTGTTTGACACATTATTATACTATAATTATATATTATAGTAGTATAATATTTATAGGATGAAATCATTAAAATTCTACATTATAATGTAGAATTTGTAATGATTTTATCCTATAAATATTATACTACTATAATATAATTTTAACTAATATAATGTAAGAATAAATAAATTAAATATTTATTTAATACTGTTTTTGTTGCTATTCTTTAAATAATTAATTATATTTATTTTTATACCTTCAACAATGTAGCGGTGATTTTCATTTATGCTGCGTTGTTTTTTCCATGTTTTTTTTTTTTCTTTTCTTTTTTTTGGGAGGGGGGTATATTTTGGCTGACAAAAGGAAGTCAAGAACAGGGAAACAAAGTGTAAGAATGTCAGGCCTCATTGAAACAATTAGTCGTGTAGTCAGATGCATGTGATTATTTCCATCAAACGGCGACATGTGACCTGTGTTTTAGTTCGGGTGTTGTTCTGGCACTCGCCTTCTGATCTGTGCTATTCAAATATTTCCCAGAAGTGTATTAATTAATATGCTAATGAGAAATTAAAGTGTGCCCGTCAGCTATTGTATTTATTGTGAGCAAACACATGTTCCACGTGCCTTTGATAGAGAATGAGAGCGCGAGGGAGCACGCGCGCAAACGAGAGGTCTTCAGCACCTCCGCACGTTGTCTTTCACGGTCTTTATTGATCAAGGAGCACAATGACTGATGGGAAATACGCCATATGGAGACACTCGTGTGCACGAGTCACAGAATGACAGATTCTTTTGTGCTTGTGAGCGTGTGTGTGCGGTTAGAAAACCAATACCGATTGCTTCATTAAAAGAAATGAGAAGTTATCAATTTATGCTGTTAATGGCAGTTGCGCAGGACAATTTGATGCAGTGTGAAAACATGCAATTATACAGCTGTGTGTGTGTGTGTGTGTGTGTGTGTGTGTGTTGTTCAGGTATACCATACGTTATGGGGATAAATTGTCTCCACAAAGATGGCAATATCCAAAATCTTTGTCCTCGTGGGGACATTTTTTTTGGTCCCCATGATGAAACAAGCTTATAAATCATACAGAATTAAGATTTTTGAAAATCTAAAAATGCAGAAAGTTTCCCGTGAGGGGTAGGTTTCGGTGCAGGGTTAGGGTAAGAGGATAGAGAAAACAGTTTGTACAGTAGAAAAACCATTACGCCTATGGAATATCCCTTTAAAACATGGTGTGTGTTTACGTGATACAAAGGACACAATGACTGTCATATGAAAATGCAACTTTCTCTTTTGATAATCAAATAAATATGAGTTTAAGTGTCAAGAAATAACAGCAATTCTTTGCTTTGATTTTCTGACACTATCATTAATCATTTCATTTTATATGAAACAGCCTCTTTAAATCGAAATATTTCACGTGTGGCCTTTTTTTTTTGCATTTGACACAGGCAAGACATTTGAAAAATCTATTTATGAAAATGTACATTCTTGCGTCGCAATAATTCAGTGATACTTTACAGTTTTTGAAATGGGTATCTATTTTCGTCGTGTTTTCTTATTTTTTGTTTACATGTTATTCTTGTAATTAGATGTCTTCTATAGCTCGACAAAAGAAACATCTACCGGGATTTATTAGTCGAGTATGATTGTGATGAAGATGATGGTGGAAGACAATCGTCAGTTGTTGGACCAATCAGATCTCAATGGGAGAAAAAGCACGTAAAATAGTAGTTTGATTATTTTATCTAGCCTCTAAATTACACTTTTAAAAAATGTAATGAATAAACTGAAGGTTACATTAAGATGTTAAAGTGATATAAAGGTATATTAAAAAGGTACAAAAGCTGTCATTGGGGCGGTACCTTTTCAAAATGTACACTTTTGTACTTTGTTTAGGTGCGTATTAGTACATTAAAAGGACATATTAGTACCTAAAGTGTAAATATTAGTACCTAAATGGTGCATATTAGTAATTTTTGAAAGGGTACCGGCCCAGTGACAGGTTTTGTAGGCCTACCTTTTTTCATAAAATAAATATGTATGATAAATATATCTATATGCATATTAACGACAAAAATAGGTAGGTCGATTTGAAAGCAAAACTGTATGTGGAGTTTTTTTATTTTTATTATAAATTATTCAGAGTTAATTTGAAGCAATCGCTTGGAAATTGTATTCTCCTCCCCAGTACCTGTTGCAGATAGGCGCTTCTTTCTGTCGCTCATCGACTCTTTGTGTGTGTGTGTGTGTGTGTGTGTGTGTGTCTGTGTGTGTGTGAATATGAGGGCATGTCTACCGTGTACATTTTAATGATAAACGACGAGAAACAGGTGAATAAACACTGACAGTCTATGTTTAATGTTAAGAAATTATTATTTCAAGAAATGTAAAGCATTTTGGCTCGTTTATGTGGGCCGTCCCAAGCATGGTTGCAATGTGTTCATTGTCAAACTCCAAAATCAGATTATTTTTACTTCTTAAAAAACGCCATTATTTTATTTTAAAATAAATTTTTATTTTATTGACAAAATATTTTAGTTTGCCTTGTATATTTTTTTTCATTAGATCAGATAACATTTTAAGCTGTTATATGGTCATGTTACAACGTGCCCCTCAGCTGTTACAATGTACCCCACCTACGGGGCATGTTGTCACATTTCACTTCCAATTTTTGAGGGTAAATAAAGAAAAACGTATACACTTGTAATTATGAAACAAAGCGAAATATTTGTACTAGACAAGTGTGAAATTACTGTGGATAAAAAAAATTATACTCTGAACCCCATGTGGATTTACACAATTTGAGAAAATCAAAAAGTGTTACTTTGTGCCCCGCTCTCCCCCTAAAACTCTTTTCACGTTACACTTAAAATAATGAAATCTAGCGTCAGCAAGGGTTTTACTAGCTATTTGGTGGATCAAAAGGCTATATTTTATACTATATTGTTTTATGGCCTATATTATTAATATATTCTTTCTCTTTTTATTATTATTAATTTTAGAAAACCTTCAATGTTATGGTGCTGAACCATAGCAAGAACCATATACAACGTTTTCGATCAGAAGTAGTTTGTTTGCTGAACCACTGAAGAACCGCTATTTGAAAAGTGTGTGTGTTAATATGTTTGTGCGCAGGCGCTCGGCGGGGCGGGATGGACTACAGTTATGATACGGACCTGGAAGAGTTGTGTCCGGTGTGTGGGGATAAAGTTTCTGGCTATCATTACGGTTTATTAACCTGCGAGAGCTGCAAGGTATTAAATCAGACGGTTTAAATAGGCTATAGCCTACTTTAAAACGTTTCGAGTAACCTAAAATCTGCCTATGTGATGACATTAATCTAAATTAACAGGTTTTTAGTGAAGTATACAAATCAGTTGTTTAATCTAAATATTTAATATATGTGACCCTGGACCACAAAACCAGTCTTAAGTGTCAATTTTTCGAAATTGAGATTTATACATCATCCGAAAGCTGAATAAATAAGCTTTCCATTG